AGACATATGGTCCGAGACTGCCCAATTGCCCCGAGGCAAGTGCCGGGACGAGTATTCGCAATGACTAGAGACCAAGCCGAAGCCGAACAGTCAATGATCGCAGGTACCGTTAATGTCTATAATAATTCCGTGTATGCTCTCATCGATTTCGGATCAACTCACTCATTCATCTCAAGTACCCTCGTTGCCGAACTCCATCTAGTCCGTACTCAAGTTGATGCCTTGTTTAGCATACTTGTTCCTTCCGATGATGAACTTAAATCCAATTTCATCATCAAAGATTGCCCTATTTACATTCATAACCAAACCCTAGCTAGCCTCCGATCTAATGTGTTATAGTTGATTGATTCATGTGATTTCATATATATATATATATATATATATATATATATATATATATATATATATATATATATATATATATATATATATATATATATATATATATATATATATATATATATATATATATATATATATATATATATATATATATATATATATATATATATATATATATATATATATATATCTATATTTCAACAACATAGTATATCATAGATATAAATTCTAATATTTATAGTATACATTTTAACTTTTTTTAACTTCTCGATATGTTGTGATTTTATCGTTCGTATATATCGAGTTATAATTTCAAAAGAGAAACTATCGCGATCATTTTGATTATCGTATCCATTTACACTTGACGACAAACTGCGTACCGAATCTAGCTATACAAACTAATTACTTCAATAAATTACACGTGATTTTGAATTCATTAAAGACGAGGACAAATTTAATTGGTCGTCCATCGAACATTATATTTTAAACCCTCCAATAGCATATTAGATCATCTAAGTTTTTAAATGATTTTGTCCCTATCCCTTATATATATTCCAAAGTATGTACATTAGTAATCTATAATATATATAGATTATTAATTATCCGGATTGAATTACTAATTGTACTCTTTATTTTTGTTTAAACCTATAAAAATGTACACCTTTATTAACAAATCTTATTATGTTTAATATGTTACCTTCTGTTATTATAATTGAAGTAATTCATAAAACAAAAACAACCTTGATTTATATAATGAAGTAGTTTAGTTCAATAAAGAATTGAGCCACTAATCATTTAAACCAGTGTAAATTACAGTCACCCCTTTAAAAAAATAAAAATCTGTTGTTTGTGTAATTACAGCTTCACCCTTATGGTGTCAAATTCAACAGATTTATATTTCGTGGAATGTTCTCTAGTTTGTACTCGTTTTATTTAAAAATATAGTTTCTGATTCACCACAATCTGATATTTATAAGCCAAGAGACACAATTTTCAAAATGTAGAGTTTGAATGGGATAAAACGGGTACAAACTGAAGAACATTTCACATAATCTTAAAGATTGGACTAAATTTGATACCGTAAAAGTGGACGTGTAAGAAGATTCATAGTTGAGGGAGTAGTTGTAATTAATCAAACATGAGAGATTTTTTCGTAATTTAACCTTGCATCAAGGAGTAGCGATAATTTACCCATTAAACTAATAATAATGAGGAAAGACACAAACAAATAACTCTTTGTGCAAAATATCGTCTCGCGAGATTAAACCGTTGAAGGTGAGTTTTTGGAGGTAGTCACGTTAATAGTTCATCACACGCACACACGCACACGAGAGAAAGATGAAGCCCCTCATGATAATTACTTTTTTTAGTTTCTCTCACTAAAATTTAAAGTTTTAAGAATCTTTTTTTCACTCGTCCGTGTAGTGCTTTTTTAGTTTCTAAAGGTGTGGAAAGCATTGTTGGTGCATGGAGGGTCATGCACTAAATTATTGTCTTTTTCTGACTACTTTGTTCAAAAAAATAATAAAAAAAAAAAAATTATTTTTATTTTTATCTTTATTTTTATTTTTATTTTTATTTTTATTTGTGTAATGTCTTGAGACGCCTGAGTAAATTGCAAAAACTACCCCTGTGTAATCCTCAATTGCTACAAAAGTCCCTATGTTATAAAAATTAGCAAAAACCCCCCTATATATTTTTTTTATTAGCTCACCGCACCTATTGTTATTTTAGTCATTGACCAGGGATGAAAAGATAAATATACCCTTGCTAATAGCATAAAATTAGAATTAATATATAATAGAGGCCAAATTGTAATTTTACTAAATTTCTGAAACTTAGTTAGGTGACTGAATTGTAATTTTCCAAAATACTATTAAACCTAGATTGAAACACACAGTACGCACAAGCTGGATTGCACAGCCCCCTGCCTCCTCTGCGGCGGCGCCGTCGACCAGTTCCACACCAGCCTTTTCTTCTTTCGCAACCTCTAAAACCATCGTCGGAGAAGACGATAAAAAACAGAAAAACAATGGGAGGTTTGGATCTGGAGGCATCAGATACCTTGCTCTTCTCCTCCACTGTTTCGTGAGGCTGCCGGCTTCGACATAGCTACAGGATTTGAGAGAATTAGGGGCGGCTCCGGCGGCGGTAGTGACTGTGGTTGTTGCCTTTGCTGTTTTGAGTTCCAGAAATTTTGGGGAAGAAGACAATTAGGTGATGGATTTTTTTTCCCAACTGGGGGCGTTGAGACAGGGTGATAGGGAGAACGATGATGATTAGGATTTAAGATTTTAAAAATTGCTATTTTGGTCCTTTGAATTTGAATTATTTATAATTATATCAAATTTAACATACATTTGTTATTTATATGTATAGAAGGATGTTTATGTCATTTTACCCCCAAATTTTCAAAAAGAACCGCACAACCCGCGCGTGAGTACCACGAGCAGCTTTAATGGACTTTTTTGCCTTTGACTTTTAATCATAGGGGGGTTTTTGCTAATTTTTATAATACAAGGATTTTTTTAGCAATTAAGGATTACACAGGGGTGGTATTTGCAATTTACTCTGAGACGCCTATTAGGTGGTGCCGTCTAGGAATGACAATAGAGCGGATATGATTGGTCATATATTTAAATTTTGTTCCGAAAAAATACATATCTTACTCTCTATATTTCATAGAATCTGTCACTTTATATAATTTATTTTGTTCCTTATTAGCTGTCGCTTTCTAGAATTACAATAATGTTATGAAGTTAAGTACATAATTTTCAACTCTGTCGTTATTAACTCTCCAACACTCTTACTGCATTAGTTAGTAAACAAGGCTATTTTAGTCTAAAAATATCTAATTTTCTAAAACCAAGATGCATTTATTGAAATTTTTAAGACTCGTGTGAAGGTGAAGAACCACATCTATTTAGGAACGGTGGGAGTATATACTTCATATAAATATACATTCGTAGCAATATTGATATTATAAACATATATTTGAAGATACTCGGAATTTGCGGAAATCATAACATCGGGAATCAAAATTTATGATTATTCTATATATACTTCCGACTTCAATCTTACAACATTCCAACAATGAAAACAGGAGTATAAGAACTACGAAACATATACCGTGAAACCAACACATCATTTATCATGGTAAGACGAGTTTAGTGACCAGGAACAAATCAACAAGGAAAACTATCCGGGCTCAACGATGCTCTACTGCTTTTGCTTACGAAGAAATTCTTTCATATGCGGGAAAATTTCCGCCTTCACCACAAGACGCATTTTCTTAGAATTTTCCCACAGTAAACCCCCGTATTCTCGCGCAAAGTCACAAGTAGCCTCAAAGACATCCTGGAATTAAAAATATAAAAAAAAAATTAAAAAAAAAAAACAACGAAAAAAAAAGATGCATATGTGAGGTTCAGTGAATACATGTTTGCACATATTCATGCACACATACATGTGGATGTGTGTGAGGGAGAGATGTAGTGAATAAACGAAAAATATGAGAAAAAAACAGAAAACTGGGATGAATGAATGTGTACCCTGGATGGAAATTCATCGTAAAAATGAGCAGGCGTCATCTCGAGTCTGTTCAAATCCGATTCCCACAACCTTATCTGATTCAATAGTAAGTGAAGGAGCAATTTAAAAAATGGTAAAACAAAAAAAAATCTACAGAAAAATGGACGAACGAATTAACACAAAAAAAATCGCGAAAACCTGATCAGTAACATTTTCTGGTACAGACGGTGTTCTCTCAGCGACACGAGGATGAGCATTCTGCTGTAGAAACGATATTATCTGCATTCCTCGTGCAAAAAAAATATATAAAAAAAAAATCAACAATAAAGCAAATTCAATTTGAGATTTATAATAAGCAAGAGGATAAACATGTCATAACAAACAAACGAGAGCTTAAGATCGACCTAAAAATGTATTTAATGTGAATATTGAAATTTATATCCTATACTTGCCTGATCTGCAGCAATGCCATTAAGAAGTGCTTTAGACAAACTTTCCTTTGTAATTGCACAAACAATGAGGTTAGGAAGCTGGTACTCGATCCTGTAATTTCAGTAGGAAAAGGAAGAAAATAATATTTACGAAAATTGATTTTGAACATGGTCAACGGTAATTTGATAATTGTTACAAGCAATATATTTGTCGAGTGTGAGTCAAACTTATACACCATAGCTGTTACAAGCAACATATTTTGGGTAAATTACAACCACCCCCTCAGGTTATGGTCAAAACTACGAAAAAACCCCTCATGTTTGGATAATTACAACCACCCCCTCAACTATAAATCTTCTTACACGTCCACCCTTGCGGGTGTCAAATTTAATGGAATCTTCTAGATTATATGGAATATTCTCAATTTTGTACCCGTTTTATCCCATCTAAGCTCCACATTTTGAAGCAAAATGATCATAAGATGTATTTTTTGGCTTGTTTATATCAAATTGTGGTGCATCAGAAACTGCATTTTTTGCATAAAATGAGTACAAACTAAGAACATTCCACGGAATCTAGTACCATAAGGGTGGACGTGTAAGAAGATTCATAGTTGAGGGGGTAGTTGTAATTATCCAAACATAAGGGTTTTTTTTTTGTAATTTGACCATACCTCAGGGGGTGGTTGTAATTTACCCATATATTTTTCGTCAAGTAAAGTGGCGGCATACCTTGAGAATAGGCGCAAGATCTCACAATGTAGTTTAGATGTTGAATAAGCGTACATCCGAAAGTTTGTTTCAACAACAACAAATCCCTGACGGAAAGGAACTCGATTTATTGAATAAAATGTAACAGACAACTTGAGCACGTATTTTCTAAGAGAACGAACCGATTCTCAAGTAAAATACCTGTTTTCTTGATGATGTATCCGCTAAGCTAATGGAGAGATTGGTAGCTAATTTAGTAGGAATGAACCAACTTTCCTTCCTGCCCTGTGCAACAAGCACAATTACAGATCATCAGCGCAAGATAAAAAAGAAAGGCCCGTATGATACAACAAGCGAAAAGATAAACTTTAACCTGTTGGAGTTTGACCAATCCCAAATCGGTAAGATCCTTTAGTATATTCCGTTGTATATCCGACAAAGTGTTCAAGTTATATGCCTACAATAATAATAAATAAAAAAAATAAAAAAATAAAAAAACAGCATTCCTTCAGTATCACGATAAGGCTTTGTTTAATTCCTGGTGGTGTGAATGTAAAGATCAACTGATCGTTTGAAAAAGAAAGTTACATAATCGTATGGGATTAAGAAGATAAGCCTAGCAACAAGTCGTAGTAACCTCGTAAAAATATAAGATCGATATAAAATATTTCATATATTACAACTCAAAACAAAAATGAAAATTTTGAACCCTCGTCTAAATTAGTCTATGACTAATACCTTGCCGGTAACATGAAAGCTAAGCTCTAGCAAGAATGATATAAGATCAGCTGTATCCACACCGTGCTCCTGCACCAAATAAAAGTTCCGTTGCAATTTACAAGACATATTTGTTAAGAGACAAAAGTCTTAATGGAATGTACGCACGAAAAATAAAAGTTCATATAGGTTGCCGGAAAAGTAAATGGAATGAGATCATCCCAGCTCTTATGAACTTATTCTACAATGACATCAAAATACGAGAACTGGCATTATGTCGACATTTGGGTATTCAGGGGAGAAGACACTACATAACACTTAAAAACTATATACAGTTAAACCTCTATAAATTAATACAGTCGGGACTAGGAAAATTCTATTAATTTAGCAAAATATTAAATTATCGAGTTCATAACTTATCACGTTCTCACCGAGTGGGGACCGGGAGAAGTTATTGTTTACGCGAGATTATTAATTTACCGAGTATTAATTTATCGAGGTTCTACTGTAAGTGGAAGAAAAGTTGACGAGTTCTTGCAACTCAAAAAGTAAAGAAGAAAACGGAAGATCGGAATTATCAAATGTTTCTGTAACCAAAATTACAATACCTCACAGTTTGTTATATATTCTCTGATTATGTACCAAAGTTGCGCATTCGTATCCATCAGCTGTTACATAAATTTGTCAGTAACACACATTTCAACGAGCAATATACTAAGGGCTAAACACACGTACCAGAAATTGGAAGCCACTTTCGGTCAATTTTGCAGGTTCTTTATCATCTCTGAAAGCCAATGCCAACTTTTCACGTAACATATCATAAAAATATTATGAATGCACAGGAAATATTACGAGAGCAGTTGGTGCGGAAAAATACTTTTGATTCAGAAGACCGCGCTGGAATATTCTCATCATGGAAGAGCTAATGTTTGTTGACTTTTCCGCTTCAGTAGAGTTGATAAGGTGCAGCAAGAAATACTGATTTTCACAATTCGCAAGTCATAAGAAGTGTATCGAAACTTTTCTTTTTATCTAAATGAGATGCTTTCCATGATACAGATTCGATAAAAACTTTTTTCAAATAACGAAAAAAAAGGGTTAAATTACGACTACCACCCCTGAAGTTTAGTCTAATTACAAAAAAATCCTTGTTTAGGAAATTACTATTACCCCCTCAAATTAACAGTAAAAAGATATGGAAGCATTTACAACTAACCCATTAAGGTATGCTTGAATTACACCAAGTTTCATTTGAAAAATGCGGTTACGCTTAAATACTAAAAATTGTAGTCACAATCTTTTCAAATTTTTTTTACAGTACGAGATCAATATCTTTTGTGCCCGTATTAAAAGACTAATCTTTTTTCTCCGCAACCGAATATTTTTTTTTAATTACTTTTAACCCTGTTTAGATTTAAAACCTAACAATTACCTCCCTAGGCGTAAATTTGGAATTTCAATCTGTATCCAATCGAGAGAAAAACCCACCCAGGTTCTAATAAACGGAATATACCAACACGAAGAAACAAATATTCTCTAGAATCTTTGGGGTTATGTTACTAACAACAACGTAATGCGGGATTAAAATAATTTGCAAGGATTCACACCTCCCATTGTTGAACGGCATAAGCATCTAAATCCTCCAATGTAGGAAGCCTCACGGTGATATTTGAAGCCATCGGTTCTCTAGGTAAAACACCACTGGGGGATTCCAAAATTAAAGTTACATAAATAATTTTGAAGAATACGTAAAGTTAGTTTTATAAACGAAAATGAAAAGACGAGACAGTATAGAAAAATTAAAGCTTACCCATGCACTATGTGCTTCTGAAGATTACTTTGAAATGTCGGATTAAGTAGGTAAGTAGTTTCTTTCTTTCTGCACAAACACCGAAAACGAGAAACTTAAAGGCAATGTTTGGAAGCGTTTTGGATCTTATTTTGATTTCATTTTGAGAAAATATGTTTTGGGGGAATAATTTGAGAATGAAAGTAATGTTTGTTTGTATTTTTGAAGGAGACAAAATACACTGTAGCAGTCAAATCATGTTTAAAGGTGTTAGAAAAATGAATTTTTGAAGAAAAAAATTGAAAGGTGAAGTGATTTTATTTGTTTTTTAGTGAAGACATTGTTTACTGTAGCAGTCAAATCATTTTACTGTAGCAGTCACATCATGTCTGAAGGAGAGAGAAACTTTTGAAATTGTTTTGAGAAAATGATTTGAAAAGTGTAATAAATCTCATTTTGTTTTGGGGAAACAATGAAAACAAACTAAAAATGGTTCCAAACATTGCCTTAAGCTTGCGTATGTGAGATCGTTCGTAACTTCCAACGTGTCAAACTATGATCAAATGCACAGCTTCAACATTAACGGGAAAATAAGGCTCCCGAAGATTCATGCATCACCGATACAAAAATTGGGAAAACATAAAGAGATGAAATAAATCGAAGATACATGATCTGAAAGGTTGTTAAATGTTACAGTAGAACCTCGATAAATTAATAACCTCGATTAAATAATAGTTTCTCCTGGTCCCGACTCGGTGAAAGTGTGTTAATTTATTAATTCGATAATTTAATAATTCACTAAATTAATTGTCCCGACTGTATTAATTTATAGAGGTTTAACTGTATATGATCTGAAAGACTTGCAATGCTAGAACGATGCAAAACTAGTCAAATGTGTAGAGCCGAAAACGAAGATGAAAAAAAAAAGTATAGTACCTTTCGATAGTTTCAGTCAGGATTCTGAGCTGAATCAATCTATCGACTGCTACTTTATGCTTAGAGACCCCATCGGGAAGAACCCATTCTTCCAACCACTTTGCAGACACTGGTCCTTCTATGTACAACATCTGCAGCACGTATTTCTTCGCCAATGGAGGCAGAGATCTGAACCCAAAAGTAGGAAAAAAAAATCAATACGAGAAGTAAAAGTGCGTATCGAGCGTTCGTATAAACAAATTGAAAACAAGAAGTATAGAGATTAAACACAAATGCAGTACTACCGGTCTTTATTTACACGTATATGCTATTTGGAAAAACGAAACAGTTATGCCTTATACATACATACATCCAAGATTATTTTCTTTATAATATTCTTCTATTCTCAGCCGACTTGTACGCTTCAAAATGAAAACGAGACAGTATTCACCCATAGCAACTAGCACCAAAAGAACAGCGTATATGGATCGTAATTCGTATGTAAGCTCATCCTAAAATTGCTGAAGATTCGTAGAAGTAAAGAAAATAAAACGTTTTCAATCAAGAACGATGCTTAATAGTATATATAACCTGAGGATGGCTTCACAGATGAATGAATTCTCGTAAAGCTTGTCGAGTTTGAACGCAGGCAATGACGCCACCATGTCCATAAAGTTCCTCGCCACAATTTTCACTTGAGGCATTTTTGTCTACCTTAGCTATCTATATATACAATATGTCAATCGATAGATATAAAAAAATTCGATACGAATCACCGAATAGATTCAACTTCCAAGAACATCCATCCTAATTTCTTGAAATGATGTATGTACTTAATTTTTGTCTCCAAATTGAATTATGTCCGGAGTTGCACGTTTGAGCAGAATCTGCAAAATGCCAATTAAACCAAGCAAGCTTTGAATATTGAACAGTGAACATACAATTAGCATACAACAGTTTCTGTTAAACATACAAATCGTGCTAAAATTTCCCCATACACTTGCGAAAAAAAAAAAAAAATTGCTGCTTTTTTTCAATCTGCAATGCACATTTGTTCTGTATCAACATCTCAAATTACAAGACTTAGGGTTTTCAATTTTCTCGAAAATCTCAGTTGGGTAACGGTAGCGGCACTCGCATAAGGAATTCAGGGCTTCAAAAAATATCTCAAAAATTTGCAGGAATTAGGGTTTTAATTTTGCAAAAAATTTACAGGGATTAGTGGCACTCACATAAATTCAGGGCTTCAATTTCGATTTACGGAGCGAGGGGATCAACAGCGTAATTAGGGCTTATGCTATTTGATTCTGGTCTATGGCAATTTAATGGTGCAATGCAAAGGATACGACGTCGTTTAAGAGATGAAGGGTTCACTTGAAGAATCGCTAACTTCTCAATTCGAAAGAATACAGTTTTTGTCCCTCAAGTTTACAAATATTTCATATTTGGTCCCCCATGTTCACAGAAAATATATTTTGTCCTTTATGTTTAAACAATTTAACACTTATAGTCATTTCCGGTAATTTTGCGTTAAAACTAACGGAATCAAGCGTGTGCCTCACTACCTTAACTAACGGAATCAAGCGTGTGCCTATCACTGCCTTAACTAACGGACTAACTGTGAATTGACGGAAATGACCAAAAATATTAAATTATTGGAACATGAGGAACCAAATGTGTTTTTATGTGAACATGCGGGACCAAATGTGAAGTCGGTGCAAACTTAAGGGACGAAAACAGTAATTTTCCCATTCTCAATCGTTACTACTTACTGCTCGTATGACGAAAGAGGTGAAGTTATAAAATATTGGGTAAATTACGAAAACCCCTCTTAATTTAGGCTAAATAACGAAAAATACCCCCACCTATCAGTAATAACCAAAATCCCCCTCTGATTAACTGTTGATCGAGTTTTTTAACAGAAAATGTGTACAGTCTATTATAGACTCTGTTACATAGGTGAGAAATAAAAGAAAATATCTGAAATTGTGTAAAGTCTATTCCCTGGAATAAAAAAATCGTGAAAAGTCACACTGTAAGGGATTGGTGTAAGACGAAAATAAACCTCATGGAGTTTTTGGTAATTACGAATAGGTGGAGGTGGTTTTTGTAAATTAATCTAAGTTTAAGGGGATTTTTGTAATTTATCCTAAAATATTTCAAATTTGCGGTCTTACGTCACATTTAATATTTTAATTATATCTTGTAGTATTAGCCCCATGTAGCAGGACACGGTGATATAACATTTCCAAAAAACCTAGGATACAGAGACTAGTGTGGGGTGGATACACATAAATATTAAAAATATGGGGGTATATATGTAAATATAAAAACCATATAACAATCCCCCAATTGTACGCATTCCACAATGGTAATTTCAAAGAAAAATGAAAATACCTTGTTTTAGCATAGATTATCAAGTGTGAACACAGAGCGGCCACGTCCGTCCACTCGTCGTCGTCGTTTGCTCGCCGCTCGGCGTCCAAGTCGATTCAGTTACGGTTTGGAGTTTGGTTCGATTGAGCAGAGAGTTTTGTTTTATGTTCTGTCTTCTACCTTCTAATTAATTACCCATCTTTTTAATTAAAAAGAAAAAGAAAAACACGTTTCCACATAACATAAATGCTAATAAAAAGCCTCCAGTTTGTCCCGCAAGGGATGGCCTAGCGGTTGAAGCAAGTGAGTCTGTGTTAATTGACTCAGGTTCGAATCCCCTTATCAACGGTCGTTAGATCTAGCTTGTCTCACATAGTTAGCCTAGTGTGGTTTACATCTCTCGTATTGTTTGCAAACTATTATACGAGAGTGTAGGTTTACCCAGTGCACCTATATGGTTGGCTGCGGGTTCCTTCATTACCAAAAAAAAAAAAAAAAAAAAAAAAAGAAGGCAAGGCCTCCACATGTCCAATTGAGGAGTGTCCACATTTTTTTAAAAATTGCAAAGCGCTCTAACACTTTATGGAAATTGCAAAACGGTCCGACACCCTAATCCGAGTGTCTAATTAGATGATTTTAGAGTTGATAAATTGTTAGATCTTGTCTTAACATGCCTTAAAATCTCCCATATTCAGATTTTAGGGGTGTAAATGAGTCGAGTTCGAGCTGAGCTCGAGTAGTTACATTGCTTCTTCGGCCTGAACCAAGAAATCCCTTAGATATGATGCAAAGTGGATCTTGTTCTATCTTTGATTTGATCAGAGATTTTTCTATGAAAAGTACGAATTGGAGTTTGAAGAAGGGGAGGGGGAAGGAGCCCTTGACCTGCAACAGATAGAGGAGGGTTTATTCAATATAATTTGGTTTATCCGCATTTTTTGTTCGTGATACACAATATATGCACACATATATGATAATATACACCTGGATCATATTTGTGGAGTGTCGGGGCCAGATACTTTCTTCAAAGTTATCATTTCGAACATCTATCCATCTCGCGATTCCTATAAATCGTGTAACTTCATTAAAAAATGAAACTCTTTTTGAATTATTATTTGTGAATTAAATGATTAACAATTTTTCCGTTCTGTTCCATATTTAAAAAGAAAGTCTCATGCTTGTAGCTAGATCAAGATTTGGATTGAGATCCAATCGAGCACGCTAGAGCTAGTAAAATATTTTGAGCTCGAGCTCGAGCCTAGATTTTTAGGGCTCAAGCTCATGTTCATCACAAAGGCTCACGAGGGGTTTTCGATCACCTAAACAAATTTCATTTTTTGAATTTTAATTTGTATAATAAGTAATAATTATTATAAATTTAAGAGAAAAACAATAGGTATAGTTATTTGTAAGTATTATTAATTATGTTAAACTTAGTTTTTAAATAACTAAGAAGTACGTTAAATTTTTGAATTGCAAATATTATTGCTAACATTTTTATAGATATTTATACTAAGTACATATATAAATAAAAAAAATAAGAAATGAGTTCAAACTCGGCTCATCAGAAAGCTCAAGTTCATGAGCTCGAATTTTTGTCAATATAATCGAGCTGGCTCGACTCATCTACACCACTAATTTCCTACTAAATTTATCGTCGTCTATATTTAAAGATGAGTTCATTGTTGCTTTCTACTCTGTCATTACACTTTCAAGCTGGAAAAATGGTGATAATTATCACACGTTTTGTGCAGTTGGAGAAGAGCTATACAGAAAATCAAAAAGTGAAATTTATGTGGAGCTAAGACATTATATTGTTTGGTTGCTGCAGCATTAAATGAAAAGCACAAGGACCAATTAATAAATTAAATGTTAATTAGCTGATCAGATAAAGACCCTATGCACTTTAATGCATGCATGAGACGCGGATAACCATTAATAATTGATCCATATATAATGGATATATGGAGTCTACATTACAACCACTCAAAAGGTAGGTTAAATTACGAAAAAAAAAACCCTCATGTTTGGGTAATTACAACCACCCCATCAACTATAAATCTTCTTACACGTTCATCCTTATGTAAGGTGTCAAATTCAACATAATCTTCTAGATTATGTGGAATGTTCTCTAATTTGTACTCATTTTGTGCAAAATACAGTTTCTGATGCACCACAATCTGATATTTACAATCCAAGAGACACATCTAATTTTCATCTTGATTCCAAATGTGGAGTTCGCATGAGATAAAAATGGTACAAAAATTGAGAATAGTTCATATAATATAGAAGATTCCACTAAATTTGTCACTGCTATGTGCTATGGTGGACGTGTAAGAAGATTCATAGTTGAGGGTAGTTGTAATTATAACCCAAACATGAGGGGTTGTTCATAATTTAAGCTTAATACCTTATGGGTGGCCGTAATTTACGTATATATGTATACACATAATAAAACTGGTGCATGGTTCCAAGTTGTACGTTGACCAGCTAAAGTCAAACCCCAAATTCAAGAACCCTAAAAAATAAGTGTGCCCAATTGTGAGTTTTGGAAGAAGTAGGTGACAGTTGAAGGGAAAATAAATCACTTTGCACAGTACGTACTTCAATTCATTAATGCGGCAGTTGGGTTTTTAGCTAGTAAAACCCGACCCGACCCGACGACCCTACCCATGTGTGTTGGTTCAGTGGTGATTGTTTCGGATATAAATACCCCATAACCGTGTTTATCTTTCTGCACTAGCTGCATGCATTTGTTGTAAAGATTATACATTTATATATATTTGATTGGTTGGAATGATGGTGGGTGGGTTTTGTAGATCTGGTTTTGGTGGTTTTGTTTTGGTGGTTTTGTTGGTGGCTGGTGGTTTGGTTCTTGCTGAAGTTGATAGTAATAATGGTGATGAAAAGTTCTTGGGTAAGCCTTTTCTGCGTAAGCCTTTTCCTGGGAGAGGTATTGGCGGCGGCGGTGGTGGAGGTCTAGGCCGCGGGGTTTATAGGAAAGGGTTTAAGCGTGGGTTTGGTGGTGGTGGTCTAGGTGGAGGTGGTGGTCTTGGCGGCGGTGGTGGGCTTGGAGGGGGCGGTGGTCTAGGTGGAGGAGGTGGTCTTGGTGGAGGAGGCGGTCTTGGTGGAGGAGGTGGTCTTGGTGGTGGTGGTGGTCTAGGTGGCGGTGGTGGACTTGGTGGTGGAGGGGGTCTTGGAGGGGGTGGTGGTCTAGGTGGCGGTGGTGGATTGGGCCATGGTGGAGGTTTAGGTGGTGGTGCTGGTGGTGGGCTTGGTGGGGGAGGTGGACTTGGTGGTGGTGGTGGTTTAGGTGGTGGTGCTGGTGGTGGGTTAGGTGGAGGCGGTGGTCTAGGAGGTGGTGGTGGTCTTGGTGGAGGTGGTGTTGGAGGTTTAGGAGGTGGTGGAGCTGGCTTAGGAGGCGGAGCGGGAGGTGGCTTAGGAGTGGAAGCTGGAGGAGGTTTTGGTGGAGGTGGAGGAGCAGGTGCTGGTGGTGGCTTTGCTGCAGGAAGAGGGGGTGGATTAGGTGGTGGTGCTGGGGGAGGATTCGGAGCTGGTGGAGGTTTTGGTGGCGGTGGTGGATTAGGAGGTGGAGGAGGAGGTGGTTTCGGCGGAGGAGGAGGTGGTGGTGCCGGCGGTGGATTTGGTGGTGGTGGAGGATTTGGAGGCGGAGGTGGTCACTAAATAGTGCATTATATTAGTGTTATGTTGTTTGATTGAGTTGTAATTATTTGTCAATTATTGTAAAGGCTTTTTTGGCCTAGCTACTTGAAAACGTTTTTCCCACTTTTGAAAAAGATTGGTTATGTTAAATGTTAAAAACTTGTAAGTGTGACATTTGCCATGCAGTTTCAATAAAATTCCCTTACTCGTTTCATAAATCTCATAACCATTATTTTGCCATGCAATTAATCACTATTTTTTGATTTTTTTTTAAGGGTAAACAAATCAAATTACTATTTACTCATATTAATGAAGTTTCATGTGGTATCCAGGGGCGGACCCAAGGTATACCTTGGGGGGCCTCCGCCCCTCGAGAAATTTTTTTTTACCTATTTTTTATTAAATTTTTAATATTTTATGTTATTTATCTATTGATTTATATCATTTAGCCCCCCAAACTTCAAATTTAGTATCATTTTAGTCCAAAAAAAATTATAGCCTCTCACCCAGTAATTCCTGGGTCCGCCCCTGGTGGTATCCCTCACTTTAGGTGCATTAAACGGAAACGAGTGGGTAGGTAACTATGTGTGTGCGGTCAAGTGATCTAGGTCAGGTTGTAGTCACTCAGCGAGTTAACAAATACTAAGGATACGTGAACTAAGTTGGGGATTCTCATTCCACGCTCAAGTCAGATTGCCTCGGCAAAACGAAGGATTGACCACACGAATTCTAGAGAACTCAGATGAATAATAAAAGCGCACATTTGACAATTAGTTCGGGGACTATTCGTACTTAAAGTAGTTGTGAAATCTTAATTTTGATTATAACTCTAATCCTATTTAACGTATAGTTCTAATTAAGCCTGAAGCTTGTAAGGGGTTCGAATCCGATTTTTTCGACCCCACACCTGGTGATAAATGCCGGGTGGGTCTCCTACTGACATGTGTACTTTTTAATTATTTATTATATATACCCCACTTGGATTAACCTATAAGGGTTTTAGAAAAATACAAAAAAAATACACGTGTCAGCAGCAGACCAAACCGATGTTTATGGTCAGGTGTAGGGTCGAAGGAGCAGTCCGAACCCTTATCTTGACGGGCCCTGCTATTATTATAGTTTCCTTATTACTGGGCCTCAGCCTTGGGCTTTCTTGATTCGGGCCTAACATAGAAAGTAATGGACCAATTGAATAGGCCCAATTAACACTATCAAAGCTATATATTAAATGATATTTTCTCTCAGTGTAAACACATATTAGTGAAACCATGTATTGCTAAGAATACTTAAAGGGAAATGGTTAAGAAGAAAAAAATGAATTACTTCCTCCGCTCCATAATATCTGTCTCTTTCATGAGTTTCTTTTGTTTTATATTATTTGTCACTTTACAATTATTTCAATGCTGTATTATTTACATATTTTTCAATTATACAATTTTTAATTCTCCAACATTGTTTATGTATTAATTAGTAAACAAGTGTATTCTGATCTATCACTATCTATTTTTCTAAAATCAAAATATATTTATTGAAATTTTTAAAACTTGTGCCAAAATAAAAATCGTTAGAAACATATGGAGTATAATATAGAACAATTTATTTCTTCTAAAAAATGATAGTAATTAGGGTAAATTACGATCACCCACCGAGGTATGGTGAATTTATGAAAAAACCTATCTTGTTTAGATAATTATATATACCCCTCAATTATGAGTTTTTCTTACACCTCCACCCTTATGATGTCAAATTTAACATAATCATCTAGATTTCATGTAATGTGTTCTAGTTTGTATTCGTTTTGTCTAGAAATACAGTTTATGATGCACCACAATCTGGTATATACAAGCCAAAAAACAGATATTATGATCATCTTGCTTCAAAATGTAGAATTCGAATGAGATCAAACGGGTACAAAAGTGATAATATTACATATAATCTAGAAGATTTTACTAAATTTTAAACCGTAAGAGTGGATGTGTAAGAAAATTTATAATTGAGAGGTTGTTGCAATTACCTAAACAGAATGAGTATTTTCGTAATTTAACCATAACTTATAACTTATGGGTGGTTGTAATTTACCCACCTAATTAATTTGAATTCGAACAAATAAATGAAGGAAAATTTCATAAATTAGTGAATTGGATTAACGTTGGAATTAGCAAAAGATAAGTCACTGTAATATCTCCATAGCTAGGTAGCTAAGGTAGCTTATCTGATTTAATTTGTGACATAAAAAAGCATCAATAATTCGAATCCTCTATACTAACAATCTCTCTCTCTCTCTCTCTCTCTAAAAGAAGAAAACAGTAACAATTCTGAAATCACATCAAATAATCTCCTCTCTTTTGTCAACACCACCTTTACACGACAAATACAAAAATCCATAGCCCTACTAAAATAAATAAATAAAGAAATAAATAAAAAGAAAAAATATCAAAAAAAAAAAAGTGTGCATGAAGACAATAATAATAGACAATTGACCTCTCAACTTTTGCAATCTCTGAATCACTGCCTCACTGATTCTTGAAAAATAGCCAATTCATTCTTTGCAGCCTTTTACATCACATGAATTTCACCAAAATATTACACCCTCCTTCTTTCACATCAAATGTGGAGTACTAATTTATGCCACGTCACCTTTTTTTTTTTTTTTTTTTTTTACCGTTGATATATTATTTATTATTTAAAAAAACCAAAAACAAAGAAAGAATCCACTGGTTATTAATTAGTGCTCATTCATTAAAAAAAAAAAATTAACTTGGCAATGTTTCTCCAAAATAAAGAATTAATACTATAATTCTAAAAACATTGCCTTCATTGCATTTATTGTGACAGTTATTTATGAAATTTAATTTTTTTTTTTTAAAGAAAATGTATAAGGGTGATCTGATGATTTGGTCCTGTAGTTAGATATTGACGGGGCGAAATTGATAATTTTGATCGTCGTCGTCGAAAACAAACGAATCCATCCAAAAATTGCCAGTACATATTTAATTTGCGAATTTTCCACAATAATAATTAATCCTATGGGAATGCCTAATTAATACGGTTTGATTTTTTAAAAAAAAATTAATGCAAAAGAACAATTTTCGTCGTGGGAACCCTTTCTCGTGTAATTTCCGGGGTTTTCCGATGGAAACATAACCAAACAATACGAGCAACAAATTAATTGGAAAAAAAAAAGAAAAAGAAAAAGAGATGATTGTGTAAGGTGTAACCCTAATTAAATTCTAACATGCCAAAAAAAGAAAAAAAAATAATCAATGTACTTACAAAAATAAATAAATAAAAATAAAATAAAGAAAATTGCAATTAATTAATTAATTAATTAATTAATTAATTTCCCCTATGAAATATAGCCCAGCCCCATATTATACTTACAGAACAACACAAAAAACTGCATCTAACATACATACATACATATATCAGTTGGATTCTGGATTCGGACCACTCGGGACTTCATGAAAATCACCACGAAACTGTCTGTCGTCCGACAACCTCGTACCGCCACCGCCGCCGCCGCCAGGAGATGCCCTTCTGGTGGTACGAGGTTGTTTCTTCTTCTTGAACCTGTGAGTACTAGTAGTTTCATTTTGGTGATGAAGCACCGCCATCATTTGTTTTGTACGAGAATAATTGTAATGCGCAAGTAATATTCTTCTTCTCCCTTTTGATTGATCTGAAATCACCTCATGAAAAAAACATGGGAAAACGATGAAGAGTAGTAGGAAGATATTAATCATGAGTGAAAGAGAAGAGCAATGCTTTGCTGCCATGAAAATGTAGAGAGAGAGAGAGAGAGAGAAAGAAAGATGTTTGTACTGCACCAGAAATCAATATATCCATGAACCAACAGGTGGGCTCCCACCCAATTCTGAACACTATTGAAATTCAAATATATATATATATGTTTTTATTTTTATTTTTTTAAAAATTATTTTGTATAGAGGAAATTAAAGAAAAAATTGGGAATTTTTTTTTTTTGAACATATTATATTGTATGGTGTGGAAAAGGTTGCATAGATTTTATTGGCGAGATATATATATTTATATGAACGGCTAGCATGTGACCTATATTCTTCAGCTTTTTGCTATCCAGCTCGTCAATAATATATATTAGGTAAATTACGGTCATCCATAGGTTGAAGTCGCATTACAAAAAAACTCCGTTCTGTTTGGATAATTACAATTACCCTTCTTAATTGTGAATTTTCTTGCACGTCCACTTTTGCAGTGTTAAATTTAGTGGATTTTTTTTAGATTATGTGGAATTCTCTGGTTTGTACTCGGTTTACCTCATTCGAGCGCTATATTTTGAAACAAGGTGATCATAAGATGTGTCTCTTGGCTTGTAACTATCAGATTGTGGTGCATCAAAAACTGTATTTTTGCACAAAACATATATGTACAAATTATAGAAAATTCCACGGAAGTTAAAAAATTCTATTGAATTTGACAGCATATGGGTAGATGTGTATAAAGATTCATAGTTGAGAGAATTGTTGTAATCACCTAAACAAGTTAGAAAAACGTCCCCAGTCCTAAGACTTAGCTCGCAAAATTTAGACACGGGAGTTAGAAAATTGAATAAACATGAAATATTTATCTTGTGAAATGAGAGTGTGAGCACACTCTTAAAAATTTTGTAGGGCAAATTACGACCATCCCATGAGGTATGGCCAAATTATTAAAAAGAAAAAAAAAACCTCTCTTGTTTGGATAATTACAGTCAACCCCCTCCTTTTAAATATTTTTACATAAAATTTATGTAATCCGGTTATTTATCGAGCCAAATCGTATATTCAGTTCGGTAAACGATATGAAATACTGGTGTACCGAAATTTAGGTTCGATTTTACCGATTTAACATCCCTATATTTATCTCTTAAGGGGTATTTTCATAAAATAATATATAGTTGAGGGGGTGACTGTAATTACCCTAACATGAGAGGAGTTTTGGAAATCTTACCATACCCAGATATGGCCGTAACCTACCCTATTTTGTACTATATACTCCAACCAAAAAAGTGATTCTCTCTTTGATTAATTATCAATCAAATTCAATCTCATTTATCAATAGTTTATCCACTAAAGTGAAGGGCCTACATGTGACAAGCAATAATTAATCATGCTTTGTGATGGCACTTTTTTTCTTGGTGTAATGGTGATCAAGATCTACATCCTCAATAAACCTTTCTAAATACGTCTCATTTAATCGTCGTAAATATAACCCAACACTAGAATTTAAGGGCGCTAACTAGCGATTGAAACTATTAAAAAAGAGAAAGACAAAGACGTTTCGAAGAAAATAGTTGGGTATTATTGTGGTTGTGCGTGTATTCAAAATGTAATCCTAATCGTCTATTTACATTTGTACATATAGATGACCTAAGGATGATATCTTCTGTCTTTGGGTCTTGCGATTTGTCCACGATTTATGCTAGATATCTATCTGTCGCGCGTGATTTACAAATTTTCTTATCTATTTTATAATTTTTTTCTCCATATATTCAATGATCTCCCAGTGTCTATCAATTAGCTCGCCATATACCACACTTTTATCATTTACGCATTTTGAGACATGACGGTGGATTCCATGGTAGCGCGCTTCCAAGCATGATCACCAGCGGCGAACTTCTCTCAGACGAGTTCACTATCGTAAAATTTGTTACTAGCTAGTTCAGTATTAGCGGGCTTCCTACTGTCGAGCTTCAGGCCTATCTCTACCTCCAGGTACTTTATTGGGCCTCTAACTCGATGCATCTATCATGGCCTACATAACAGGTCTTCCTCCTCATACTTAGGGCCATTTTTTTGAATTCGACTCATGTTTGCGGAACTAACCCCATCAAGGTGCAAGCGAATCGGTTATTTACAATGTGTTATGTTGAAGTTGGTTCCGCTTGAGCTCGTTTTATACAGAAATATTTGTATTTATTCAAGAAGTTACATATATAAATTTGAGGACTAATGACAAATAGATCCATGACAAAAGACTTAAATACACATAGGTCCAGATAAAAAAACAGTTTTGCAAATAAACCCATCCTCATTTCTTTTGTCTAAAATACTTCTCATAATATAATTTTCATCAATTTTATCCATTATAAATTAACTTCATTAATATTGCACATTGACCCCGGATTCAAACAAATATATCAAATTAACCCCCATTTTCCCATTTTCATAATTTTTTGAATTTTTTTTAGAAAATAAATTATTTAAAAAAAAAATCCGGCGTTGACTTTTTTTCAAACCTTTTTTTTCTCTAAATTACTGTGTTAAAAACAAAATTATTGTGTGAGACATCAATATTGAATGCCAAAACAGTAATATTACTAATATAACTGCCCCAAACAGTAATATTACTGCAGGAGACAGTAATATTACGGTCGGAGACAACATTATTGTAGGCCAAACGATAAAATTAGTTAATACATTAATATTACTATCTCAGACAATAATATTACCGTCTCAAATAGTAATATTACTAATATGAGACAGTAATACTGCAAGGCAAGACAATAATACTAATGATTTAAAAAAAAAGTTTAAAAAAGTTCAGAAAAAAAAAAGTTTTCAAAAAAAAAAAAGAAAAAAAGTCAACAACGAAGACCCGCGGTCAATAACGGCTGACTAGCGGTCTCATATTTAATTACAATTACAATTATGAATTTTATATTATTAAATTAAGGGCAATCCAGTCCTTTAAATAACATCATCAGAATTAATTAAAAGTTTGAATGTTTGAACAATGAGTATGATTATTTTGATTTTAGGACTTTTGGAGTAGAAAATTTTCTTTTTTGGGCTTTTTGGGTATAAGAGTTTTGAATTAGGTATTTTAATAAGCTATTAATAAAATATAGTAAAATCCAATCAAACCAGTTAATAAGCTAATAATAAAATCCAATCAAACCAGTTAATCAAACTCGGGAAGCAAAAACGTGGTCGTATCGACTCTTCTCCCTCAATCATCTTCTTCCTGAATCTCGATCTTCTTCCTCTTCTAAACCACACACAGATCACACGCTCACAACTTCTCTCTTTCTCTCTCTAGAATGGATACGCACACAGCTTTTTCTCTCTCTCTTCTGTTCATCTTCTCCCTTCTCTCTATCCATCCCAAGGTCTTCTCTCTCTCTCTCTCTCTCTCTCTCTCTCTCTCTCTCTCTCTCTCTCTCTCTCTCTCTCTCTCTCTCTCTCTCTCTCTCACGCACCAATTGAAGCACTTACCCAATTGTTTACACACAAATTAGACGTGTAATTGTGAATATGTAGGATCTGATTGGCGATTCCGATATTTGATTGTTGATTGCAAAAATTGTGACTTGATTAGGGATTTTGCTTTGATTTTGATTCAGGTGATTTTGGGGGATTCCACGGTTGTTTTCCTTGATAGCCCTACCCGCCAGTATCTCCGCCGTCCATCATCTGAGGTAATTGTTCTGATTAATTAAATGCTGGCGTTATGTTATTCTTTTGGGAATTTCTATTTTTATTTCGTCCCACATAATTTAGCTGTAGCCTCTGGATTTCTTAGAAGTTTAATTAGAAATTAATTGGAAGAGAGAGAGACAGAGAGTTGTGGTGACTAGTTGAAGTTTTGAAAGAAACTTCGACAATCTACTTATTACCTTTTGACTGCATTTGATGGCTGCTTTTTCGATGAAATTCTGCAAATAGAGCCATTGACTTGTGATAAAACCAAAGCTTTTAATTCCTGTTGGGGATACTGCTTTCAGTTCTACAATTTTTAAGATTGATGATACGGAAGCTTTTCTCGTTTGAAGATTTACCCAATTTTGGAGCTTTTTTTTTTCCGTTGATTTAACTTATGTGCCAATGTGTTACCGTTCTCAAAATCTAGTTGATCATTGGGTATCTATCCCGTTGGATTTGCGGTCTTTACCTTTTGACTTAGAATGAATGATTGAGCTGACAAAATTTTCTGATATGGAGGTATGCTAACTTAAAGGTTCGTTCTAAAGAATGGATGTGCAATGCAATCGAGTGTAACTTGTTGCATTTCATATCTTGTAGTTATAAAGACTCTGCAACACGGTTTGTTAAGACTTACGAGATAGAACCTTAGGTTTAGGCTTGTTTTGCAGAAATGTGATAATGTGATAGAATGAAGGAACACGAGTTTGATGGACTGCGGAATTTGTGTAGAAAATCCATAAACCATGGGAAATTGTACTGCGGTATATGTATGCTATGCTATGGAGCTGCACGGTGAGATGAGGGATTGGTTTTGATTTTGTTATATATCTTAAAAAAAATCCACAGGTGCTATTTCCAGTCAGTCATTACCTTAGTATATATGCTTGTGTTAAGTTGCAACTTGCAACTAATATATAGCCTCATATGCCTGTAATATACATCACTTGAAAAGTAAAATTGATGTGTTCTCCTTAAATTTCACGCTGTTTTGCATTTCATTACATGGATTTGAATTGTTTTATTGGAAGGATGGATTGGTGATTGCATCGTTATTTATGCAGATTGGTTCACTTTCACCATCTGAAATTGGTGCTACTGCATCAGTGTTACTTGGCTCCTTACCTCCTTCTACACTTAGTGCTGCTAGCTCTGCCAAGGTACAATATTATAACTGTGATACTTCACCTTTTTTTTTTTTTTTTTTTTAATATGAATCTATATCTGCTGTAAGTTATCCACGTTTACTGACTTTTCGTTTTCCAGCTAAATGAGGTTCTTATGCCTAAACCGTTTGATAAGCCCCGTGCCGTGTTTATGCTTGAAGTTACAGGAGCTGAAGGTATGCTGCTTAAACTAAAATGCCTACAAACTGCAGTCAGTAGTTATTCTGTTTGTTGTAAAAGTAGTCACTGAATGCTGTTACGTATACAGACTCTCAACTTATCTCGGACTCAGAGAAATCTGCATTTAGTCGTGCTCTGACAATCAAGGTTGATGGTAATCAAAGAGTGGACATTCAGTGGACAGGTGACTCACCTTTGTGGATGCTAAATTATCCCTGTGTCGTGACATCATCAAATCCTTGACTAACCTATTTCGTTACGTTGTGCAGATGAAGATTCGTTAGTCCTGAATGAAGTGTCAAGTGATGCCGAATGTTCTGACAGTGAATTAAATGATTTTGTTCGTCTCTCTCTCTCTCTCTCTCTCTCTCTCTCTCTCTCTCTCTCTCTCTCTCTCTCTCTCTTTGATATGATGTTTGGATTCTGTATTCAGGCATCCGAGTTGGGTGGATCATATGTTGAAGATGCATCCGGCCCTTTGAATGGAGAGTTAGTCATTCCCATGGCAAACGGTGCCTTTCTGAGACTTCATTTGTCAGAGGTTCCCAAAATACAACAGTTTGAATGTTGCATTAATAATTATATTCCTGAAAAAAGTTCTGAAAGTCTTTGTTTTGAATTTTACAGAGAGCCGACAGAGAGTTCATAACGGGTCTTGTATCCCTTATTAATAATATTGAAAAGGCAAAGAAGATACATGAAGTCTTGGCAATAAACGAGCACAGCCCAGCAATGCTAATCAGTGGGAGATTTGATGGAATTAAGGTAAAATTGTAAAAAAAAATAACTTGCTAAATTTTAATTAATTAGTTTATTGCGGTTCTATGCTTATCAGTTTATTCGACCTTTCTCAGGCTTTAGAAGATCGTTATGGAAAAGAAGGCCTCACACAAAGAGGATTAGAACTATTTGTCAATTGCATCTCAAAGTCATTCGATTCCTTGCAGGCAGCATACGAAGGTTTTTTAATGCTGAACTACTTTTCTTGTGAATGAGTTTAGTATATGCAAATGAAATATCACGAGTTAAGGAAACTTTTAGCTATCTGCATGAATATGGAGAATGTTTTTCCATTTGAAGATTGATATTATTCGGGTTGCATAATAAATGTTATCAGTTATATTCTTGTCTTAAAAAAATTAATATTATCTGTTATATGGCAGGACAACTTGTTGGAGTCATTGCCCATGTCGGGTCAGAGTCGAAGAATGTTTTCGACATAACAGCAACTTCTCGACCGTCTGCTCGTTCGATGGCGGAAACAGAAGAAGCCTCTGCTGAATTCACCAAAATCGCAGAAATTGTGTTTGTTAGAACAGCCTTGGCTTGGATAACCGGAATTATCCTTCTAATCGCCACTTACTTGGCGGTAAAGTCTCTTTTCATAATCAATGCTATCAAATAATTTTGAGAAATTAGCATCGATTAGTAATTATAATATATCAAGGCTAATCAAACATATCTAAACAAGGCCCTGTTATTTTTATGCATCCTATGACATGACAAACACATTGTTCGGACATCAACTAATCGTGTCTTTTTTATTTTGATTGACTGCAGATCTACTTCCTTATGTACATGCCAATCACCAAAGACACCCTTCTATATTCTAATGTCAAGCTCGATTGATTATCCATGGTGGCAGTTTATCCTCTTCAATGGAATACTTGAGGGCAAGGTTGCCATGAATTTTTTTCATGCAGATGAGATTAAAAATCTGTGATTGTGGATCCAGTCAATTTGCTTGTGACATTTTCGTTTTTCCGGGTTGTGATTATGTAGTTTTTACGTGCTTTTGTTCGATTATTTATTTAGTGGTAGCTCAAACTTGGAATAAAATGTATTAATCACGATTGGAGTTAAACCTCGAAATCTGGAGGAGAAATTTGGAAATTTGGAAGTTGGAAATGATTGTGCGATATTGTTTGTTTCTTTTTTATTACCGTGTATCGAGATGGTGAAGACACTTGATGTGAAGTATATTTTTGGGTGTCGTTATCCTCATCTAAAATTTGTTGCCTTTCGATTTTGACATTTGAATTTGTTATGATTACATTCTATTCTTGAGTTTGAAAATTCTTGTATCGAAATATAGAACTAAATTTGATTTGTGGGTGCTGCTGATAATGTTTGTTTGTTCGATTACGTTCTTTATAGGGTAGTTCATTTGAACATCTATTTGTGGATAAGTGATTCGAGCCGATTACATGAGTGTTCAAGTTTTATTGATTTTTAGCAGTGTCCTAAATATCGGTGGCGGCCGATATATCGGCAGTAATATCGGTGAGGTGGTTTGAAATTTTAGTTTTTGGACGATGAGGCGGTTTGTGGCGGGTCAAAACGATATATCGGGCCAATAAATTGCAAAAAAATATCTCTTTTTTTTTTTTTTTTTTTTTTTTTTTTTTTTCTCTTACCAAATTTCAACCCAATTGATTTTAACCAAAACCAAACCGAAGCAAGTCACCACCCCTAGTAAGAAAGAAGAATCTGACCAAAACTTACTGACCCAAACAAGTTACACTTTTCCGACGCTCCAGAGAGGGTGCTCGGTGGCGGCCGTAGGCGGCGGTGGGGATATAATCATGTTTAAATATTTTTTAGTATATGTTTTGAGTATTTACAAATAATATCTAGAAATATATTACACTAAATCTAAAAATCGATTTATTTTCGATTTATCTCTGATTAATCACTGCCTCGCCGATTGATCGTATGGCGGTCCCTAACCACCTCGGACCCGTTGACTGCTGTTTAGAACCTTGGTTTTTAGTGAACTTTGGTCAAGTCGAGTTGAACACACGCTAGTCAAGCCGCTAGCTCGACTCATTTGTACACACTTCACCATTTTTCTTCTGATCAAACCCAAGCTCAAGCCAAATTTCATAATTTATCAAACATAAACATGTGTTCAATTTTGCTTTCGTTAAATTAATAAATCGAGCTCAAACGGAGTTTTTAACGAATGATCGGATCGAGTAGCTTGGTCTAATTTTCAACAACTTTTTAAAATATTGTAAAATCAACCAACTTTCTTTTAGGAGCTTCCCGCCATCCTAAGTGTAGTTCATGTTTATTTTATTCTCATTGGGCCCTTTTTACCATTTCTGAATTGTATTAAAAAAAGGGTAAATTACAACCACACCTGAGGTATGATCAAATTACGAAAACCCTCTCTTGTTTGGATAATTACAATTACCCCATCAACCTTCAAATTTAGTGGAATCTTCGAGATTATATGGAATATCATCACTTTTGTACCCGTTTTATCCCATTTGAACTCTACATTTTGAAACAAGATGATCATAAGATGTGTTTTTTGGCTTGTATATATCAGATTGTGGTGCATTAGAAACTGTATTTTTTACACAAAACTATTAGAAACTAAAGTACATTTCACGAAATCTAGATGATTATGTTGAATTTGACATCATAAGAGTGGAGGTGTAAGAAAAAATCATAATTGAGGGGTAAATATAATCATCCAAACAATAAGGTTTTATTTTGTAAATTGACCATACCTCAGGGATGTTTGTAATTTACCATTAAAAAAAAAAAAAAAAAAAATCAACCGTTAAAATTATTTGTAAATATCTTCTCCCTATAAAACCCACCATATCTGGTATCTCTATAGCTTCTTCAAAATCCACACACACACACACAGTGAATCGGAAAATGTTGTCGTCGATACTACCTGTGAGTTCAAATCTCACACTGCCTTTCCTCCAAAAGCCCCAATTCCTCGCAGTTTCCTACAGGCCCTTCTCCAAATCACACACATGCTTCTCATTTTCGCCGTCAGACCAGAATCCGATCGGGGAGGAGGCGCGGTGGCTGAGGGAGGAGCAGCGGTGGTTGAGGGAGGAGCAGCGCTGGCTGAGGGAGGAGTCCCGATGGAACGCCGAACGCCAAATTCTGTTGCAAGAGATTCAGCGCCTCAATTCTCTTCAGGGTTTACCTGTTTCTGAAACTGTTGCAACTATTGCTAAATTGATGCAGGTAATATATAATTTTACTTAAAATTAGGGAACAATTGATTGGATTGATAACCTTGATTGAACCGGATAGGATTACATTGTCGATGGTGACCTAATATGTGATTATCTTATGTTTGGATGTTATGATTATACAATCCTTGCACCCGGTCGCGAGTCCAGGAATTTGTTACATTGCGAGCTTCAATTTTTGGGGATTCGAGGACAGCGCCCCTGAATTTTTTTTAGGACTTTTTTTTTTGTGACAAATAGAAAATAGGAAAAGAAAAAAAAGAAAAAGAGCTTTTTTTTTTTTTTTTTTCATTAATTTGGATTTTGGTGGACTAATTAATAAAAAATGGGCTTTTTTTTGCATTAATTTATATTTTAGGTGGGTTAATTAATAAAAATTGGGTGGGCTAAATAGATATATAAGAGCATCTCCAACCATCCATGTTTTGGGATGGTATCAGCTAAAAATCCATCCATATAGCATTTGTAAGCAAAAAAACATGCTCCAACGGAGAAGCTAAATTATTGCTTGGCAGGTAAAATCAATCCTCCACCAGCTAAATATACCATCTACTGTACATGAAAGCTAAATAAAGATAATATTAAAATAACACATAAAAAGTACTATCCGGACCAAAGCCCACGTCTGACATTTTGTGTATTTGATTTTTTTCCTTTTGATTCTATAAATTTCATTTATTAGGTTTAATTTGTTTATTTAGGTAATTATATTCAATGTTTTTTTCTTTTTTTAAAAAATTATATTCAATTGTTTATTTATAAAAGGCATGTGCCGTAAATCTAATTTTGACATACGAGGTTTGATTATTTTTTATAAATTATCAATGTTTGATTCATTATTAAATTTATAAAAGATATTTTTATTAATAAATTAATAACTATTTATTTTAAATAATATATATATATATATATATATATATATATATATATATATATATATATATATATATATATATATATATATATATATATATATATATATATATATATATATATATATATATATATATATATATATATATATATATATATATATACACACACACACACATTGGGTTGTATTTTGTAGGTGATTAGGCTAGATTGCTACAAGTATAAAAATTGGATCATTGTAATATTCACATAGTATTTGGTGTGTGGTACGTTATTTTTTCTTGAAATTATAAACTCTTTTGACTAGAAAGTGTTAAAATGACTATCATGGTTTGATGATGATGAATATTTCAGTTTTGGTTTAGGTTCTGAAGGAGGGCGATTCTGCAAAGAGCGTAAATAGAATAGCCGATAGTGGGACGAGTGCTGTGCCTTTGCCACTAATGTTCGAGTCAGCTAAAATGGAAGAGGAAGAAGTTGTTGTAAAGGAAGTAATCAATATTCCGGATAAAAAAAAAATAGTAAAAAAAAGGGCAACTTTGAGAGTAGGATCGGAAGGAGACGAAGTACGCGAATTGCAGGTATGCTCTCGATTTTCGATGAGGATTTAGCTCACTTCAATATGAAACTTATGCTTATGCTCGATTTCGTCTTTGATAGGACGCTCTGCAGAAACTCGGGTTTTACTCTGGTGAAGAGGATGTAGAATTTTCTAGCTTCGCTAGCGGAACTGCTCGTGCCGTAAAAACCTGGCAAGTATGTTGTATATTAAGTAATATTTTCAGATAATAATTTCTTTTATGCCCGTTGCTATTGTTTTCCATGAATAGAATCAGTTAATTGAAGATTAAGATATTGCCACCACCTTTTTTTTTTTTTTTTTTAATGGCAGGCATCAGTAGGAGTACCGGAAGATGGCACTATGACTGCCCAACTTTTGGAGATGTTATTCGGAAATTCTGGCACCGAAGAATACGAGTCAACTGATCCGGAGAAGGTATGTTCCGTTTTCTTGATTTTCTATATAAGAGACGATAACGAAAACTATAGGCTCAATACGGAAAACTTTATCCTCACCAATAAAAGAAATTTATAAAACCATCGTCCCCTTTTTAGATTACGCCAAAATCAAAAAACTGTTTAATCATGATATAATTGGTTTGGAAAAATTATAGTTGGAGGGAAAGCAAGCAAAATTAGAGATAAAGAACCGAGCCCAATCTTGATTCTTGTGAATTTGGATATAAACAAGGTAGTATAAGGCATTAATCGTATGTATCTTGTTTTCATTGTACCAAACAAGAATTGTTAGATAGTTACTTGCCGGGTCATTCGGCCAAACAACGATTTATTACAAAAAAATGTCGTAATTGAATTAATAATTTAAATTGGCTTGATTTCGATTGCTGAAAAGATATTATCCCCTCAAGAGTGACCTTAGTTAGGACGTTTTTCGAACCATCAAGAATCATTTTTTGTTTTAAAAATCTTTACAATGCAGTGATGTCACTTTTATATTATCTAATTCGATATTTTTTTTGGTTTTCTGGAAGAGTGCAAATGGAGCCCCATTTACGGCTTCTGTTACAGAGGTATCAGAAGTTAAGCCGAGTGTTGTAGGAGAATACGTGTCTGATAACAGAGTATTTCTGCTCGGAGAAAATAGATGGGAAGATCCTTCGAGGCTTTCCGGAAGTAGCCAAAACACTACAAACAAGAGTAAAAGTGGAAATGCTAAAAACAATTGCCTTTCTTGTCGTGGAGAAGGCCGTTTATTATGCATGGGTATAACTTCCATCTTTTTTTTTTAATAGAAAAAATACGTGAATCCATGTTTTGGAATGTTAATCGAGTCGCAATATATAATTAACTGCATAATATTAAAAAAAAAAAAAAAATCAATTGGTGTTTTGATTTTTTTCTCCGAGTTTATCAATACCAAGTGCTTCTTTATCGGATTAAGATTTATTTTTTAATTTGAATAAGATTGCAATTATTTTCCAGCTTTAGCTGCTGATTATATTATTTGCATTTTCTTTACAGAATGCGATGGAACTGGGGAGCCGAACATTGAGGAACAGGTTAGATGAACTTTCGATAATCGCAGTTCGATTTTATTGCAGTTCCAAAGGAATGAAAAAATCCCGTATAAAATCATAAAAAAGGGTTCAGTGTTTAATTTGATTTCTTCAACAAGAAACAACATAATATTCAATTCTTACATTCTTGTTTATTTTTTAATTTTTTTTAAAACAATAAATAATAAAACAATGTGGTAAATACTAATGATGGAGTAATTGTATGTTGCAGTTTATGGAGTGGGTAGATGAAGGCGCAAAGTGTCCGTACTGTATCGGTCTTGGATTCGTAGCATGCGATCTCTGTGGGGTGAAAACATGAACCAACGCTAAAAACGTATATATACACATCTTTGATTTGTGAATATACGAATATTCAAATAGATTTTAATGTTATTACAAATGGTTAATTAACATATATTCTTGTCTGTGTAATGTGATCTTACAAACGATGAAAGCTCAACACTGGAAAGCTTCGAGAAACAATCTCCCTAACAATCAGTCTTAACCTAGAAGACAACAAATCCCGGTATTTTGCACTTGATGATGCTAAAATAACCCATCCAACACCCTTTTTTAGTTATATTTTTATTTAGCGACAATATTACTTTATTCCTATGATGTAAAATCACCAGATGTATTTTGCCGGATGGAGCATCTACACGAAGAAGTGACGCAGCTGGCTAAGCCAAGTCGATATCGACACCGCATTGTTTACAATGGCTGCAAGTGCAACTACACAGTTAAACCTCTATAAATTAATACAGTCGGGATCATGGAACTTCTATTAATTTAGTGAATTATTAAATTATTGAATTAATAATTTAACATGTTTTCACAAAGTCGGAACCGGGGGAAACTAATATTTAATTGAGGCTATTAATTTATCGAAGTTCTACTGTACTCTACTTTTTTAGTCTAGCTAATCAATAACAACTCGCCTTGCTATATTACCGAGCAGCAATTGATTGCAAATGGTATTTTAGTAATTTTTAATGTCCCCCCCCCTCCCTTTAATCCATGCATATTTATATATTTTCTTAATCTGCGCAACAATCCAAAACGACAAATATTGTGGGACAGAAGGAGTACATAATCGCGGATTCACTCAACTCGTTTGTATGAAACCATTTTAGAAAGAACTTCAAAATCTTTAAGCTCTTAATTCCATACATTAAACTTACTCTTTTCTTTAGAAGCAAATTTAGAATTGCTTTTCAAGAACTCTAAAAATCAAATGTTACTTAAATGCGATGAAAAACAAGCGTACCACATTATATGTTTTCCGAAACCCTTAAATCCGAAAAAAGTTCCTCCGGAAGATTTTCCACTCTCTCTTCATCTTCATCCAAAGGTCGAAACTCAATCCCTTCGATAACATATCCGGTACTCCCGAGCAATTGCACGAGCACATCGCTAACTTCTCCCACGTTCCGATCTTCCTCCAAACCGGTATAGAATTTTCCGATTTCAATTTCCCTCCATCTATCCGGTCTCTCTTTGCTCCGGCCAAACTCCACAATCCTTGCTAGCTCTTTCGAATAACCGTACTCCCATACACCTTCGTCGATTCCGACGAACGAAAGCGCCTTTTGAGGAGCTCTTTCGTCCTTATAACTGTAACCGATCAAAAGATATACTACGTATATCGTCTCCGGTGAAAACAATCGTGCTCTTATTCGGCAACTGATATCCACCCCCCATGTATTTTGAAGCTCAACCACATATGGGAATCTGCAAAGACCACGATACAAGAAAACAAAAGAAAATTGGAAAAAAAAAGAAGCATAATCTTGAATAATGAAAAAAATCGTGTAATTTACAATTTTTATCCCTCACGTTTGCAACGATTTCACACTTGGTCCCCCATATTTACAAAAAAACACATTTGGTCCCCTCGTGTTTCAGTAATTTGACATTTTTGGTCATTTCCATCAATTTACCGTCGATCTGTCAGTTATATGTAGTGACGGGAAAACATTTGATTCCGTTAGTTTTAACGAAAAATTGACGGAAAAAATTAAAAGTGTTGAATTTTTGAAACATGAGAGACCAAATGTGTTTTTCGGGAACATGGGGACCAAATGTGGAATTCGAGCAAACTTGAGGGATGAAAACTATATATTTCCCAAAAAAAAATCGAATAAGTGATAACTAAGATTAAAGCACATATTAAAGACCTGGAGTTAGGGTAACGAATAAACTGGTAGCCAGGTTGAGGTGAAATTTCAGGTCTTGAGTAGGCTCCAAACAAGAAACAATTCCTTCCATTTTTGTCGAGGAAAAATCTCTGTTCCGAAATTGCAATTTATTACGGTTTTTGCACGAACATAAAAAACAAGGTAAATGGCGCGATAATTATTAACGGAAAACGAGGATTTCATGCAAGGTAAAATGAAACAGATGGGGGGTTTTACGCAATAAAATTAATATAGACGGTGCTTAATATATATAGTCGAAAAAGAAGATATATATATGTATCGAAAAAAAGTCTCACCACCGAAAAAATTGAAGTCCATACTAGTTCATCTTTATCGGTTGGGAGCATCGACTTCCATTGACTGTGGTCGAGACCTAAACCCAAGAAGTTCATCGCTAATAAACTTCTCTTTTGGGGATTATCGTCGTCGACTATTGCGGATGTCGTGTTGTAACCGAGATCGAAACTAGATAATGGAGACTCTCTGGATTTTAACAACATCATTTGGTTGTCTAGCTCTCTAAATCGAACGGCCCTCAACAGTCTCTGCCAGTTTTCGTAGTTTTTCGACATGTTTCTTTCTTCGACCTTTGCCGTGAACATGTACAAGTTAATAAAAAGAAATATAGCCTGATAGCTTATATATAAAAGAGAGAAACGTTGGGCAACCCTAAGAAAACCTAATGGCATTTTTGTAATAATTTATTTTTAATATTTTTTTTACTAATTTTCTAACTATATTTTTAACAATTATCAAAATTCATATTCGTCATTAATATATCTCAAATCTTATTAAGAAATAAAGATAGAAATTCGATTTGTTAAATTGATCATTTTTTTCACTTTTAAAATACGATCCCGTATATATAAAAGATAGAAACGTTGGGCAACCCTAAGAAACCCTAATGACATTTTTCTAAATATTTATTTTTAATATTGTTTTTACTAATTTTCTCACTATATTTTTAACAATTATCAAAATTCCTATTTTTCGTTAATACATCTCAAATCTTAAGAAATAAAAATAGAAATTCGATTTGTTAAATTGATCATTTTTTTTTCACTTTTAAAATACGATTTGAATAACTGAATGCTACAAAAGTCATCATGTTATTTTTTTAGGGCAAATTACGGCCACCCCTAAGGTATGGCCAAATTACGAAAAAACCCCTATTGTTTGGGTAATTACAGCCACCCCTCCTTTTAAATATATTTGCATAGAATTTATGTAATTCGGTTATTTACCGAACCAAATCGTATCTTCAGTTCGGTAAACGGTATGAAATATTGGCGTACCGAAACATCAGGGGAGTTTTCGTAATTTGCCCTATTGTTTTTTTATTTGCATTAACCACCTAATTATATAATCAACTTTTAGGGTTTGTTCATATAGATAATTGGCCGCTACCCTCCGCCCACCATCGTTGAGAATATGTTCTGTTCTGAAACCAATTCACAGTCCTTATAGTCTAGTTAATGGGGAGATTTTTCAGTATAGTTTTTTTTTTTTTGTTTTTTTTTTCTGTTTAAACCCTACTCAAAAAAATAAAAATATAATAATAATAAAAAAAAAGAATCCATGAAAAACATATTTCAAATAACACACGAGAATTTCATGAAACTGGAATAATCATATAGATATGACGCAAGTATATATTGAGTCGTGAAATAAATAATAAAAGAAAGTTTGATCGGAAGCGTACCTTGTTGATATGTAGTTTGTCAATCGACAATTGATCTTAGTGTTTTTTTCCTTTTTTTTTTGGCTGATGAGATGTAAAGAGAATTTTAATTGAGGTAACACACAAAGTAATAGATTATTTATATTTCACATCCCTCAAATCAAGCATAATTACATATGGGGATAAGTTTAAATAGAACATTTTAATTAAATCCTTAGTTTTAAATAAAATTTAACATTTATCCTTTGATTTTTGTTTAACTTAAAAATACCCTTAATATAACTAATAAAACATTTCTTTCTTATTTTTTTTTTTTCCTAAGTGTTAGGTGGCGGCAGATGTTATGGTGGGTTGGTTATGGAGGCGGCTATCATGGATGGTGGGCTTGGCAGCGACTATAGAGTCGGTTGGTTATGGAGGCGGTTAGGGTGGTGGTGGACGCAGTTACGGTGGGGGTGGTTAGGAGAAATGTAAGACAATACCTATGACGGGCGTCGGCTATGTCGAATTTACGACAATCAGACTTAACACGGTTAGCTTTACGGGTGCAATGACATAAATATCCATACCATCTTCTACACTCCCTCAATACCCATTCACAAACATTTTCTCTTTCACTTACGAATTAGAAGAGGATTGCGTCCAGCTTCGAAAACCCTAGTTTTGCCTCTCTTCATAATTCCTTCCCCAAATCAAGCTGATTAAGAACAAACAATAGATTGAAATGACAAATCGTCAACTTTTTATTAAAGTTCTTAGTGTTGGATAAGGCAAATCAAAAATAAAGTGTATTTGACTCTTGGCCATCTAAAGAGTGAAGTTCATGAATTTGGAAAATTAAAGATGCATCTTGAAGAACAATGAATTTAGTCTTATGTCTTTTCATATATCTAAATTGTACTTAATTTCCTATTAGTATAAATATGAGGTTTATGTTTGTATTTCCAGTAAGAAGAAGAAACAAAAAGCAGAGTGAAATAGAGAGAAACGAGAGTCTCTATCTTGTAAAAGGCAGCAGCCTAATTCCTTTGAGAAATACAAGTGTTTTGAGTTTAATCTTCTTCCTTTGTTTATCATATTGAGTTGTGATTATCTTCAATATTTTTGGACCAACACTTAGTTCCTTATCTTTTCCCGAGTCTTCTTGTTTATAAAATAAGATAACGATGACGAAGCCAAAAAAAAAAAAGAAAAAAAAACGTATCCAATATACCTAATTAAGAAGATGTGTTTATCGGGAATTCCTTCAACCCTTTTCTCTCATAGGTCGAAACTCAATACCTTCGACAACGACACCACTCGTGCCGCTATCACTTAAATTCAAAACTTGCACGACTACTTCTTCATCGTCTCCTACACTTACATAGAATTTTCCAAGTGCTACTTCCATCCAGTCATCTCCTCTACTATCATCACATCCTTCTTGATCAAAGTCAACCATGCGACCATCGCCAACTAAACGAGCTTTCAACATTAAATCATAATCAATACCTCCGCCACGAAAACTTCTGATGATTGAATTTGCCGACAGTTTTCCTTCATCCTTCACGATGAATCCAAACACAAGATACGCGGTATAAATAGTTTTCGGGGACAACATTCTTGTTTTTATCCTCCCTTGGATGTCGATTGTTTTTGAAGCTTTTAGCTCAACCACCTCCGTGAATCTGCATTAATCGATCAATTTGTTAGAGTTATTATGCTAAAAGGTTAATGATAGACAAATGTTATTAGGTTAGTAATAGACTGAATCTTTTTGTTTGATTTCTAAGATAAGATTAGTCAAAATAAGATCGAATAATTTTATAGAAACTCAATAAACATTTTATCCATCAATATTATCGTAGAACCTAGATAAATTAATACTCGACAAATTAATAACCTCACTTAAATAATACTTTATTCCGGTCTCAACTCGGTAAAAACGTATTAAATTATTAATTAGTTCGATAATTTAATATTTCGCTAAATTAATAGAAATTTGTTAGTCCCGACTGTATTAAATTTAAAGAGGTTTAACTGTAATTCGGATTCTTATAGGGGACTAGGTATAGTGAAAAACCTGGATTTTGGATGAGATTTCGTTTCGATTACAAGGTCGTCTCCATCGTGTCTCGACGACATTAGAATGTTTGCAGCTCCTAGAAAGAAACAGTTCTTTCCGGTACCTTCGTCAAGAAAAAAGCTCTGTTTCGAAAAAAATTGGACAAGTTACCATTTTGCCCCTTTCGGATGTACATATGAAAAATATACAAACCAAAGAGAATTGTTTTACCCAATAAAATGAACAAAGGGGGATTTGGCGCCATTAACATAAGACAGTGTAGAATAATATGAAAAAATAAAATAAGAATCAGGAAAATGTGTTCGTAGTTATTACCAAACAAGCCGATCTCCATACAACTTCTCGTTTATCGGGTGGAAGCATCGTTTTCCACACGGTGTGATCAAGCGTTAAATCGGAATAGTCCATAGGTAACTGTCTTCTAATTTCTCGAGGCGTTAAAGGTCGAAACTCAACACCTTCAACGATTAAGCCTCTCTTCCAATATCCACTCGTATCCAACAATTGAACTTGCACCTCTCCATTTTCCCCGGGGCCCACATAGAAATCTCCGAGCTCGATTTCCATCCACCAATCTTCTTTTCTACCACCGCCTCTCTCGAAGTGAACTATCCTCACTTGTTCTTCGGGATAAGTTAAACCCGTTTCGTCGCAAAAGTTTCTGATTATCGAAACCGCTGAGTGAAGTTTTGCATGATTTTCAGTAAATCCAAACACGAGATATGCTGCGTATAAAGTATGTGGGGATAGCATCCGAGTTTTTATCACGCATTCGATATAGAGGTGCCTCGAATCTCGAAGCTCAGCCACTTCCGAGTATCTGCATAAGATCAGAATATCAATATTATATATATATATATATATATATATATATATATATATATATATATATATATATATATATATATATATATATATATATATTCGGTATTGTGCAGTGAATTAAAGCACACCTGGATTTGGGCTTGTATATATTCTCCCAGCAATTCTCTGAGCCATATTTATCCCCTGATGACATTGTAAGGTTTTTGGAGCCTACTAAAAAACAGTTCTTTTCTCCTCCTTTGTCAAGAAAAAAGCTCTGTTTCAAAGTTAGGTGGAATGTTTAGTGTTTATTGCATTCAGTAACCAGTGGCGAATCCAGGATTTTTGGCAATCGAAATCGAATATAGTAATAAATATAAGTAACATTTAATAACAATATGTATAAAGTTTACAGGGATTCGAGGGCAGCGCTCCCAGTTTTTTTTTTTTAAATAGTCTACACATAAAACAATACAAATTTGCAAAAATTTCAAATTTAAAAAGATCATTTGCAAAATTTTGGGATAATGTGGAAAATATTAAAGAGAAAATTGGAAAAAAACTTTCGTTTTATTTTTTTATTAGAGAAATCCCTCTAAATTCGTTTTCTTAGCAAACTACCTTTAGAGGCTCACTATTTAGAGAGTTGTATGCTAAAAAGAAATGGAGTGAAGGGTTTTTTTTTGCTAATACTAATGATATGTGGAGTTTTTTAGCAATGTAATTCAAGGGTATTGAATGCAAAATAAACTAAAGATCTTAAATCGAAGTTCATTGCATTTAGTACCCCTGTATTTTCCCTAATTTTAAAAAAGTCCCCAACTCTTTTGATACCAAAAACCTTCTATGATTCAATTTGTTATAGCAAACCACTCCAAAATTTTCACAATCTAAGGGATCAGTTGCTAAAAAAAGGGAAGTTAGATGTTATATCTGGTTATTTATACTGGGTGATTTTCAACTGTAGATGAAATTAAATTATAACTACCAATTAAACACACACATATGGGTGTATGTGTGTGATTACATGTAAATAACCTGTAGGTGTAACATCTAATTTTTTACCAGAGAAGATGAACTCCATAGATGTTTGCCAGGTGGCAGCATCGCCTTCCACTCGTTGTGATCAAGCGCTAAATCGGAATATTCCATATATTGTAAATGATCAATTGTTTCTTGAAGAACAAGTGAGTGATGATTCGGATCTAATATTTGAGAAGTGGAGTTAAGATTATTATTACTAAGATCGAAACTAGACGACGAACTGGAGCTGCCGCCGATGCTGATGTCATCCCTAGAATGACTCAACGCTATTTGTCTGTCACGCTCCCTGCGTACAACTGCCGTCACCAGCCGATACCAATTGTCGTAGTTCTTGGTCATCTCTGCAGATGAAGTGTTAAGACAATGAAGATGGTGATATGTCTATTGGAAAATGTATGTTGATAAATGGTTAACTACAACTTTTTCTGCTTTTTATTTTTGGTTTTTCTATTTTTTATTTTTCTCTTTTACTTTTTTTTTCTTGACTCAGTATGAAAATTGTGGTCTTCTTCTAACTTCTAAGTCTTCGTCAATAGCAATAAACTAAGAGGTTCTTCGTTGACCCGTTTACGCGCTTTCTCATGAAAACAAAGTGCTTGCGAAACCAATTTTGTCAAGGCTTAATAATATTTTGCTATCTGTATTTTGCCCTTTTTTGCACTTTGCTACTAAAGAAAAAATATTTGTAGAGGCACACTCAAGTCCGTTATTTTGACTTGCTTAACTACCTAAGGCTAATATTCTGACGAATCTTCACAATTTCCATGGAAGAAGAAGAACCAAACTTTAATTATAATTAATTTTGTATTTGGGGAAGTGTTAAATTAACTTCAATTGAGTCCTTAGAACTTTCGATGTCACCCAATATGAAATCTTCAAATGAAAAGACGAAAATGCCCATCTAATTTCGCATCTGCATCGCGCGTGCGCCGGAAATTGTGAAGATTCTTCAGAATATTCGCCGTAGTTGGCTAAGTGAGTCAAAATAACAGGGTTTGGATGTGTCCGTGCAAATTTTTTTTTATTAAGGTGCCAAAGTGCAAAACAGACAAAGTACATGTGGCAATATGCCTTTAACCCTTTTGTTAATTATTGGCCCGTATGAAATGGAGACTTTTGATCTCACTTTGCAGCCTTGAAATATATCAATTTGACACTTTGTATCTTCAAAAAACAATAAATTATTCACTATGAACCGTTAATTGAATTTTCAAAACTTAATGAGGTCAATTTTATCATTTTATTTGTTCTTTTCTCAAAAGGTGCAAATAAATAATTTAATTATTATTTTCTTCAATCCTCCAACATAATTTCGAGTGTATAAAGTGCCAAAAAAGAAAAATCACACTGAGTTTTAAAATACTATATTTTCTCCAAAAAAAACCTATTTTTTCCTACAAAATTATTCCATTGATGAATCTTTTATTGTAAGTGGTGAAACTATTTGGTAGAAATCGTGGTAAGAAAATATATTTTTCAAAGGGTAAATAACATTAAACCACCTAAACTTTGCCCGTTTTTGCGGATTACCACATAAAAAAAACAAAAGTTTTGATCTCACATGAACTTAAACAAAAACTAACGAAAGTTACCCCTATCAACACCAAAAGGAAGTTATGTGCTGATATTAAGAGCATGAGGGGGTCATCTGCAAAAGCTTATCACCACAAGGGGTCAAATGCTATTTACCCTAAGAGAAAATTTGTTACGAAAATAATAGTTACATAACCAACACGTAGAGCAAAACCAATTGCACCGATATAATAACATCATGATAACTAGCGTTGGAAAGCCTGTATCAATTAACCTAGATTCGAATCTCCTTGTCAAATGGTCTGTAGATCGAGCTTGTCACACATGGTTAGCCTAGTGTGGTTTACGTCTCTCCTATGATTTACAAGTTATTATACGAGAGTGTAAGTTTATCCAGTGCAACTGGGAGAGGCCGGTGACAGCCGTTTCACGCAGGGAGCATGACAGGCAAATAACTTTGAGTCATTCCAGGGATCCCAGCAGTATTAGTTCCACGTCATCGTCAAATTTCGATCTTAGTTTTAGCTCAACTTCTCAAGTACCCATGGACAATTCCGATTTATCGCTTGATCACAGTGAGTGGAGGGCGATGCTGCCACCTGGCAAACATGAAGTGATATGGAGATCAGCTTCTCAGGTAGGTAAATTAACACCCTTTTCTTGATCATATAATATCCGATCCCTTCATGTTAATATACTGTTTTGTGTTGCTTTTGTTGAATGACCACCTCAACCAAAAGTTTAAGCTGTTAGCGAAATGTATTATTTGATATTAATATCTCCAATACCCCCTTCAAGTGCAGCCGAATTACATTTGAAGCCTTGCACTTGAAATATTTGAAATGGGTGGCGGTGTGATTCGAATTCTTTGGTTTTGGTGGTCATTCAATAGCTTTGATATATGGAGCAAAATTATGACATATTGGACAAAAGGAGTGGAAAGAACTGTTTGTTGCTAGGAACCGGAAGCCTTGTAGCATCGGCTGGAGATGGAGAAGCGCATCTGTTCGTAATCACGAAATCTCCCCCACAATCCAGGCCCTTTGTTTACTTTGTTGTATATTATTGATGATGAAAATGTCAACCTGTCGATCGTTGCAGATTCTCGGAGGTAATTGAGCTGAAATATCCGCGACTTCTTTGGTGTAGGAGACAATAAAGCGGTACTATATTAGTGCAGGTTAAAAATTTCCGTAGAGGCGGGTGGTCGACTGGGATCACTATTGAAGGCATTGAGTTTCGACCTTTCAATGGAAAGAAAATAAACGTTGGACAAATGAGTACTTTACGACTTGATTAAGCTTTCGTTATAAATAGGAAAAAAAAATCATCGAACACATTGGTTTGGTCTCACAACAAAGTCAAAATAAGGGTAATCAGGTATACGGTTGTAGCCCCAAACGAATAAAACTTGGCATTGTTCGTAGGTATGAGTCGCTTCATATGGTCCGATTGTTCCATATCACATTTGGAATTTGGGAAGCAACGTTAGTCAAGTTCTGTTAAATTTAGTCTAGAGTCTTTGTTGGTTATATTTTATACCTTTTTCTTTAATCGATATGCATATTTATTGATTTTCTTAATATGTGCGCAACAATCTAAAACGACAGATATTGTGGGACAGGAGGAGTACATAATAACAGATTCACCGGACTCATTTGGATGAAGCCATTTTAGAAAGAACTTCAAAATCTTTAAGCTATCAATTCCATAGATTAGACTTACTCTTTTTTTAGAACCAATTTAGAATTGCTTTTCAAGAATTCTAAAAAAATAAAAGTTACTTAAATGGATGAAAAAAAGTGTACCATATTAGGGGGCAAATCCGTAGCAAATGTGTAGCAAAAATATTTTTACTACGAATTTGGTAACTAGCTAGATAACGGAGAGTAAATTAGGTAGTATTTTTTCGAAGTATATAACCATCAAAACATACAATATGAAACATATATATTAGTTTGCAAACCATAGTACCTTATTCAACATATAATTCAAAAGCCAACCGAAAAATGCAAATACAGTTGCATGAGTTCGTCACAATTAAAAAAAAAGAAAAATCAAATGACTATTGGTTCGACAAATAAAGCAACAATCCATGGAGCCAAAAACGTTTCCGGATAAGTATATCCATCTTCACTGCCCTTGTAAGTGACCTCTGCTACACGAGCGTAGTTAAGAAGTTGCTCCACCATTTCTTTCGGCACGGAACATGAGTTTCTTGTCGCCCATTCCTTATTCACATCCTCTCACGCATTCTCGACTAGTTCGGCAAACTTAGACAACGCCTCTTGCTTTGATACACCATGGTGTTTCATGTAGCAATCCACCACCGTCAGCAATTTTCCCTCTCTATTCTCCCGCTATATAAATTAGAAAAATGATTATATATATATATATATATATATATATGGGCAAATTACCAAAACCCCCCTGAGGTAAGGCTGAATAACGAGAATCCCCCCCATGTTT